AATAAATTAAAATTAATAACTAATAACTTATTAAAATTAAAAAAATATAAGTTTAAAAATGTTAAATACAATCAGATATATTCAAATTATCTAAAATGACAGTTTCACTACTTGATTCAACTTTAAGATTTTTGAACCTTTTTGAAAAACTTTTACTTAATTCAGATCCTCTAGTTTTTTTTAAACTTGCCAGTCTCATGGTTGGCTTCTTACTTTTGCTTTTTTTCGAACTTTTCTTAAAGAAGAAAGACATATCTTGAAATATTTCTAAAATACTTTAAGATTATAAAAAAGAAATAAAACTTAAAATAAAATTAGTAGTGTAGTTAGTTATAAAAAATAAATAAACTTAAAATTTTAAAATAAATTAAATAAAAAAAAATCAAAAAAACCTAAAATAAAGTTAGTAGTGTAATTAGTATAATTGTAAAAAATAAACAAAAACCTAAAAATTTTAAAGTAATTTAATATTAAATATAATTTATTAAATATTAGATACTTTAAATTGTTGTAAATAGGTGCAAATAGATATGATCTGGTACAAATAGAATAAATATTTGAAATATGCAAATACAATGTGAATAGTTTTAAATTATAGTGATCTTTAAAATAATATTAAAAAATAATCTAATTATATTTAATTTATAGCTAAATTTATTAACCGATTTTATATTATTTTTTTATTTATAATAACAAATAATTTTTAATATATTTATAAATATTATAAATAATTTATATAATTTTAATTAAATCATATTAGTTTGCATTATTTAAAATTATTTTAATTAAATTTAAATAAATCAAAAATATAATTTAAGTACTAATTGTTATATTCTAAATTTAGTTTAATTCTAATAAAATTGATTTGTTTTGCATTAATTTTATTTAAAGATTTTAATTACAAACAAATTAAATTTTATAGAAATTATTATTAAATATTAACTTATTAAATTAAAAAAGTCTAAATTAATTTAGTTTTTATATTTAAATAAGATAAAATTATTCTTTGCTTTTTGTATTAAATTTTTTTCTTCTATTATATTTTACAATTTTAAATTTTTAAAGCTTTTATTATTCAAAATATACTTCTTAAAAATGTCTGACTTCAAATGTACTTTCTGTCCACATACTTTTGCTAATCATAATAGATTAGCTAAACATATATCTAAATATTTACTTATTTTTGATGAAGATAAACAAGTTTTATTAAATAAATCTACTCCAATTCATACTATCTTGAAGCAATTTAATAAAAATCAAAATGAACTTTTTGATAATCAAAATAAATCAAAAAGTAAATTTTTACCTAAAAAAATATCATTTAAAGATATCAACTTTTGTAATGTTTTGAACCAAAGTAAACAAACCAAAATTATTTCTAATATTGATTTATATAACACATTAGCTGGTTTTTTAGATTTAGTTAAGACAAATTATATTTCTAGTAATTTAGCTAATATGTTATTTGAAATTGATAACATTAACATAAATTCAAACTATTTTGAATCTGATCTAACTTTTTATATTCTGGATAATTATGATAACAGTTGCATAATAATCAGAAATTTTCTAATAAGTTTTTAAATAATTCTACTTATATTGATAATATTTAAAGTTCTTTAAAAAAGAAAGAAAAAATTAATCAAAAATATAATAAATTTTCTAATAAAACTTATACTGATTTAATAGTTTTGATTACAAAATATAAACTAAGTAATGTAGCTAAAAATGCAATTATTTCATTTTTTAATAAGCATTCAAATCATAAAAAATTACTATTACAAAAAAATATTAAGCAAAAAAAGAAGTTTATGAATAATATTAAATCTAACTTATTATATAAGCAAACTAAAGTATTAGATCATAATAATACTGAGTATTTCTTATATCATATGCCATTAATCAGCTGTATTGAAAATATATTAGAAATTTCTGATATAGTACAAAATTTAGAAATTGAATATAAAGAATTATATAAAACTACTAAGATATATATAACTTTTAATATTATTTTGTAAATAGAACATTTATTTTGTTTTATATTAATTTATTTTTATTTGTTTAAAGAATAATAAAAAAAATATTTATAAAGAGCAAAATAATAGAATATAATGAAAAACTATACAAAATACTTTGCCTATAGGATTAAAAATTTTATCAATTATTTTATTAATTATTTTATATTCAGATGCTACAAATTATAACACATTAAATAAAAATTAGCTTCACCCAATATATATATTACTAGAAAATATACCTATATGGTAAAGAAATAAGTAGAATGCAAAACAATTATTAGGTTATTTGCCAATAATAAAAAATCTTCTAGTATAATTAAACAAAAAGTTAGACAAAGTTTTTATAAATATTTAGAAATACTTTTAGATCCAATTCGAAACTATTCATAAACTAGTATAAGTTTGTTAATAAATAACACATTTATTTGGTTTTATTTAAAAGTTTTAACTATAATTGCAGATTGGCCAGAGGTTGCAACATTTTGTTTAACTTAAAATTAATAAATTCTAAACATCCTTATTATTTTTGTTTATTAAATAGAGATGATATAGTAAATACAAAATGTTCTAAATATGATTTGGTACTTAAAAATTATAAAAATATAAGAAATTACTTTAATAATAATTATGAACAATCAGTATATATTGAAATGATACCAAATTTCTTTTAAAATTTAAAATAAGCTTTTTTTTATTTTTATTTAGTTTAATAATTTTTAATTTAGTTTAAATATATTCAGAATAAATAAAATAATAATTTTTATTAAAATATTTAGATTTTGCATTATAATATTTTAAAATTTTCCAAATTTTTTATATTTGTATTATATTTTTTAAGCTTTTTATAAGCTTTTTATATAAAATTTTTAATATAAAATTTTTTAATAATAAAAATTAAACTTAAAATATTCACAATTATATTCATAATTGAGAAATTATATACACATATAAAACTTATTAATATTTACAATTACTACTAGTTCACAATTCTCAAACTCAATTGTGAACTAGTTTACAGTTCTCAAACTCAATGATGAACTAATTTACAGTTCTTAAACTTGATAGTGAACTAGTTCGCAGTCTTCAAACTCGATAATAAACTAGTTCATAGTTCTCAAACTTGATAGTAAACTAGTTTATAGTTCTCAAAGTTGATGATAAACTAGTTTACCATTCTCAAACTTGATAATAAACTAGTTTACTGTTCTTAAACTCGATAGTAAACTAGTTTACCATTCTTAAACTCAATGATGAACTAGTTTACAGTTCTCAAACTTGATGATGTACTAGTTCACAGTCCTCAAATTCGATGATGAACTAGTTCACAGTCCTTAAAATTATTGGTAAACTAGTTTACAGTCCTCAAAGTTAATGATAAACTAGTTTACAGTTCTCAAAGTCAATAGTAAACTAGTTTACAGTTCTTAAAGTCAATAGTAAACTAGTTCACAATCCTCAAAGTTGATAGTAAACTAGATTACAGTTCTTAAAGTTGATGATAAACTAGTTTACAATTCTTAAAGTTAATGGTAAACTAGTTTTTGATTCTTAAAATTAATAATGAACTAGTTTATGATTCTTGAAATTGATGGTAAACTAGTTTATGATCCTCAAATTCAATTATAAACTAGTTTATAGTTAGAGATAAAATACATACATATTTTATAATCATAGTCAATATTATGCATAGTTTACAATTATAGAACAATATCATTCATATTAATATGCATAATATCACATATATAATTTTTTGATTTTAATTTTCTCATTAAAAAATATTAGATATTGGTACAAATTTTTGTCCAATCTTTTGTCTTTTATATTTATTTATTTTTATTTTAGAATTTTTGAACTACTGTATTCTAATTTCTTAATTTTGCTTGAAATTATGCAATTAGGTCTAAATTAATATACATTAATTTTCATAAATAAAATTTAGATAAAATAAAATATATATTATTTGAAATCATATGCATAAATGAGGAATTATGCACACTTATAAAACCTATTATTATTTACAATCTTTAAAGTAATCATAAACTAGTTCTTAGTTCTCAAACTTAATAGTAAATTGGTTTATAGTTCTCAAACTCAATAGTGAACTAGTTTACTGTTCTCAAACTCAATAGTAAACTAGTTTACTGTCCTCAAAGTCAATAATGAACTAGTTTACTGTTCTTAATAGTGAACTAGTTTATAGTTTTCAAACTCAATGCTAACTACTTTATGGTCTTCAAACTCAAAAATAAACTAGTTTACAGTCCTCAAACTCAATGATAAAATTAGTTTTCTATTTGTAATGATGAACTAATTCACAGTTCTCAAACTCAATGATGAACTAGTTTACAGTTCTCAAACTTGATGATGAAATAGTTCACAGTCCTTGAATTTAATGATGAACTAGTTCATAGTCCTCGAACTTGATAATAAACTAGTTCATAGTTCTCAAAGTTGATAGTGAACTAGTTCACAGTTCTCAAACTTGATAGTGAACTAGTTCACAGTTCTTAAACTTGATGATGAACTAGTTCACAGTCCTCAAACTTGATAGTGAACTAGTTCATAGTTCTAAAACTCAATAGTGAACTAGTTCACTATTCTTAAACTCGATGGTAAACTAGTTTATCATCCTCAAAATTAATAGTTTTCAAAGTCAATGGTAAACTAGTTCACTGTCCTTAAAGTTGATGGTTTTTAAAGTTAATGATGAACTAGTTTATCATTCTCAAAGTCAATGGTCCTCAAAGTCAATAGTGAACTAGTTCATTATTCTTAAAGTTAATAGTAAACTAGTTCACTGTTCTCAAAGTTGATGATGAACTAGTTCACTGTTCTCAAAGTTGATAGTGAACTAGTTTACCATCTTCAAAATTGATAGTAAACTAGTTTACTATCCTCAAACTCAATGATGAACTAGTTCACCATTCTCAAAGTCGATGATAAACTAGTTCACAGTCCTCAAACTCAATGATGAACTAGTTCATGGTCCTTAAACTTGATGGTAAACTAGTTTACCATCCTCAAACTTAATGTGAACTAGTTTATGATAGTGTTACAAATCATTAAAAATTTTTTAATTAATTAGTTGACAATCCATTTTATTCAACTAATCAATTAATCAATTTTATTTTGACTAATCGATTAGTCGATTAATCAATTTTATTTTGACTAATCAATTAGT